ACAAACAAGTCTCTCTTGGAGAGGGTGGAATCAAGTTTCTCTTGGAGGCAAGGATTTTGAAGCTCCATCTCACATACACGGCCAGGAGGGTCCAGTCCTTGGGAAAAGACATCCTGATTGGAAGGACAGTCCATGAGAGGAAGACCTGGGATGAGATGGATTGATACAGTTACTGGGGTAATGAGGGTAGGTGAGTTGGAGTCAGTGAGACTGTCTCAGGAAAAGGCAGGCTTCAGAGCTGTTGTACAATAGGATTGTTGTACAATAGGATTGCTATGAGTCTCAGGCGACTTGACAGCACATAACAACAACAATAATATATCTCTCTGTCTCTCCCTTGTATGAATTGCATTAGAATATCAATCACAAACTGAACAAGGAAAATGAGAAAAAGATAAATACTTCAATTGTAAACAGGAGAAAGAGTATAGCCAGTAGTCATAAGAAAATACATATGACTATTAAAGATATATGAAAGGTTCAAGTTCAGAATAATTATAAAAAATTTAAGTTATAACAAAACATAGGGGTTTTGAAAAAAAAAAAACCCACAAAAACCATCACTCCAGATTAGCTGTTACTGTTGTAATAGGCCATAAGATCAGTCATGACTCATGGTAACCCTATGAAAAAATAACAGTAAAGTGTGCCCTAACCTGTGCTGTCTTCATGATCTCTGTCACACTCAGATTAGGTGTACTACCATTGTTGAAGATTGTAAGTGCAACCCTAAAGAATGCATGGCCCTAAAACAGCACTTAGTGTGATGTGATACCCAAAGCTCTGTCCTTGTGGAGTGGTTATGTAAGATAAGATCAATTGGAACCAGCTTGATGAGGTAGTTATCTAAGAGACCTGCCTTGTTGCCATCTGAATGGATAACCCTTCCAATCTTGAAGAACCCTGAGCCAATCAGGAATCTGCTTTTTCCAATATGGAAAATTTCCAGATTTGTGTGCACAGCTTGGATGCTTGGCCCAGACCTTCAAGGAGATGGGATGTCACTGAAGAGGGTGGACCGTGACTTGTCTTCATTGAAAGTTCCTTGTTACCTCAGTGAAATTAAACAGAGCTGTGTGTGTGGGGGGGTGATACAACATCATTGCAGACTCTTTCCAGGTGAAATCACCCCATCAGAGCAGGCAGCATGCCCGCAGCATCTTGATGATCCCTCTCTGTAAAAAGGCAGCTATTGTTAAGGGAAGGGGGAGCTGATACTTTATTTTCTTGGCCCATGTTTTTCCATTGACCAAGTTACCTGTAAACTGGAATTTGTGAGGGATTCTGTGATACCTCTTTTATGTTCCTATAATCTGTGAAAATGAGAAGAGACATCTAAATTTAAAAAATTAAATATAGTAATGTTTTACAATAAAACTCTCTTCCCTCTTTTTAAAAAAGGGGGTTGTACGTGCAGATAGTTTTTCGTTGTTTGATTTTTTTAAAAAAACCCACCAATTTGTGTAAGTATAAAAATGTTTAATATTCTTACCCTATAATCCAGCAATTCTAGGAATCTATTCCATAGAAAAATTTACACAGTTAAAAAGAAAAAATATACACCCCCACCTCATTACTGTTCTTAGGAGACCACTCAACTTTCTCCCTGGAAGTGCCAGTGGATTCAAATCACCAGACAAGTGAGATTTTTTACTTTGCAGCCCAGTAAATATAAGACTTCACCACCAGAGGTCCATACTCTTTATGTGGACAAAGTTGCAAAGTATACTTTGCTTCATTGTTTATTGTAACAAAGTAATTAGGAACAACCCAAAAGTCTTACAGGAGAAACTTAGTTACCATGCCTTGGATTCAGACTTAAGAGAGAACAGACATGCAGAGTGAGACTGTGTTCCAGAGGGTTTTTAAGACTCTTAGAAGCAGACCACCAGACCTTTCTTTCAAGTCTCCTCTGGATGGGTTAAAACCATCAACCTTTTGATAAGCAGTTGAACGTGTAACTCTTTGTGCCACTTATAACTTCCTGTTCATTGGTATCCAAACTCCGGAACCCACTGCTGCTGAGTCAGATGTTGAGTCCATGCTAACTCATGGCTCCCCTGTATTGGTTTTTCCAGGCTGTTAATCTTTACGGGACGAGAATACCCATCTTTCTCCCAAGAAACAGCTGGTGGATTCAAACTGCCAACCTCTCTGTTAGCAGCTCAGCATACCATGCAGCAAGTCAGCAGGGTTCCTTTGTTTTGGGGTGTGATGCACCCCAAATTAGGAATCTGTTTACCAAAACCCCAGAAGCACCATCAGGTGACCAGCAGGGGTAATGGCTGTATGTGCCTCCAGAGGCCCCCTGCACCCCGCACAGGCAGGCAGGCAGTTCTTGATTCAGCACTGCTTCCATTTCTGTACCCCATGATGCAGGGTGCCTCGTGGAACCTGCGATCCAGGGCATCTTCAGGATGGGCCTTTGTTTTTAAGTATTGTTGTTTGCTATCAAATTGAAATCAACTCCTGACCCTCTGGTGGATTTTTCAGAGGCTGTAGCTGAAGATCTCTAGCAGAGCAGCTGATGAATTCAAACCACTTGCCTTTGGGTTGGCAGTGCAACTTCTTACCACTAGACCACCAGAGCTGCCAAATAGGTATGTTGTTGTTATTGAACACTGTCAGGTTAGAACCAATTCATGGTTGACTCTCCAGCAGGTTTTCAGAGGCAGTAAATCACACAGGAGGAGATGGCTCATCTTTCCACTGTGAAACAGCTGATCGACTTGAACCATATGCCTTTGGGTTGGCAGAGCAACTCTTTACCATTAGGCCACCAGAACTCCTGGTGTGGGTGTGTTGTTGTTCTGTGCCATCAAGTTGGAACAACCCAAAGCTGACCCTGCAGTGGGTTTTCAGAGGCAGTAAATCACATGGGAGGAGACTGTCCATCCTTCTCCCAAGTATGAGCTCGTGGATTCAAACCATGTTCCTTTGAGATTCCAGTGCAGCTTTCTTAGCACTAGGCCACCAAAGCTTTTTGTATAGGTATGAGATGGTTTAAATAAACTTTCACACAATGGAATCCCATGCAGTCAGTTAGTACAAACAGAAGTAGCTCTTTGTTTACAGATATTGAAATAAAGCCATGATATATTGATAAGTAAAAAAAGTAAATGTGAAGAACCATATGCTTAGTGTGTTTTGGTTTTTGTCTTAAATATTTGTTTACACATTCACAGAAAAACATCGAAGAAGCACCTAAACTATTAATGAGATTCTCTGAGGACTGGGAAAGAAGCAATGGCTTTTTAAAAACAAAACAAAACATAAACACCCACACGTACACACCCAATTAGGTTATAATTCAGACATGTTGCAAGGAGGGACCAGTCCTTGAAAAGGGATGTCATGCTTGGGAGGGTAGAGAGACAGAGCAGGAGAGGAAGACCCTCAATGAGATGGATTGATTCAGTGACTGGGATAATGGGAGTAGGTGTGTCAGTGACACGAAGATTGGCACAGGATAGAGAGGGCTCAGGGCTATTGTACATAGGATCACTATGAGTCACAAGTGACTCCAGGGCACATAACAACAACAATAAACAAGAACAGTGGGATCCCTGGTGGCAAGAAGCTGCACTGCAATCTTGAAGGCATGCGGTTCGAGGCCACCAGCTGCTCTGCGGGAGAAGGATGGACCATCTCCTCTAGTATGATTAACTGCCTCTGAAAACCTGCTGAAGGACCAGCTATAGATCGGTTCTAACTCTGTGGTACAACAACAACTAGGTAATGTGTGAGGAAGGACTCCCAACAAGACCAAAAGGCACAGAAGTCAATCTTGTCCCTCCTTGGTCATCCAGCTGCCTCTGGAGAGAGGACTCTGTACTCTCAATCTACACAGCCCAACCAGCTAGCTCCAGTGAGGGTTCTGGAGGCTAAAAACTGCATGTGAGGAGATTGTCCATCTTGTGCCACGGAGAGTCTGGTGGATCCAAAGTCACCAGAAAGGCACAACCTTTGCATTAGCAGTGCAACTCCCGATAAACTAGGCCACCAGAGCTCCAAATGCATCACATTTGTTTGTTATGTGCTGTCAGATTGATTCCAGATCACAGTGACCCTCTTCACAGACTAGAATGTCTGCCCGGGGCTTCCTGCACTGTGGCCCTTACAGGGATAGATTCTGCTGAGGAAATGGTGGGTTTGAACAACCAACATTTTGGTTAGTAACTGAGTGTTTAACCATTGTGCCACAAGGGCTCAGCCCTTTTAAAAACAAACTCAAAAACAACACCCACAAAACAAACACTATTGGTTTTACAATGTATTTGTTTTTTTAATTTAATCTAGTGAAAAAAGCAAAAGGTTCTCTGAAAAATTTACAAATGATTTGGAAGTTTAAAGAAGATAAGAAAACCACCCACAGTCTTATCTCCCAAAGAAAATTATCATTTGATGTATTTTTCCTGGAATCCCTCTTTGTGTACATATTCGCTTTAAGAACAAATAAATCTAAGCTTGTAAAATATTCACAAAATATACACAATAGGGATGAATTCTAAACATATATCCTGAGCCAAAAAAAAAAAAATAAAGTCTATAAAAAGAAAATTACACTGTACTCTTATATATCCTGATCTGTACTTCTTGTACTTTACTTAACAAGACAGCATGACCGTTCTCTCATATCATGAAATATGTTTGCATAAGATGATTTCTAGTGGTTGTGTGGTAACCGATCATAAAACTTATTTAACCAATCTTATCCCAAACATGCAAGTGTTTGCCGATTCAGAAAAATTTCTGCAAATAAAGGAAAGAACGTCCCGTTGGGGCCAAAATGAGTCCAGGACAACAAAGCAAAAGTCCCGCTGCCATCTCTTCTCCACTCCCTGACCCAGAGCCAGCCCTGACTTCTAACCTCTGACCTGTCCCTGCGGAAGGGGCAGAGGGTCTGGCACATCTGTCCCACCCTGTGATCACTTCCCTGTGTGTGTGCAGCACAACTGGATCCAGCTGCAGGGCCTTCCAGATCCCTCCACTCCCCAAGTTCAAGGTCCTCGGGGCCCTGATGGCCCAGAGATGGGTGCAACATTCTCGTATGGGGGCTCTGTCTGCACTTTCTCTTCAGCTGGTTTCTGAGGATCTTTTTCTGGGAGGCCACCCTCAGGGACCAGCTCCTGTGCTCTCCCTGGGCTCTCAGTGCCTCCCCCCAGTCCCTTGGCAGCTTCCCCTGGCCCAGCCCCCTCAACCTCCTCATATGGGGTCGAGTCAGAGCTCTGAGCTGTAGAGCCAGAGGCCCGCCTTGCACTGCCCTTGTTCCGGCTCAGGGCCCTGCGTGGAGGCTTAGGAATGGCGCTCTTGACCTTGGGCTCTGCCTGGCCTTTCTGGGAATTAGCAAAGCGGTGCAGGGTAGACCTGGCCAGCCCCTCCGACGGCCGGGGAGCTCCTGCCAGCATGTAGATGGTGGTCACAGGGCCTGAGCGCTCCTGCATGTTGCCCTCAATAGCTTCCACGCGTTCGGCCACCGTCCAGCTTCCAAGAGGGAACTGTCGGTTCCCAACCACAGAGTCCCTGGGGCTGGCAGTCCCGCGAGGGTTCTCATCTGTTTCTGTTGGCTCCAGGGCTGTGGACTCCTCAGCCTCCTGGCCCTCGGGGCCCAGTTGTGCTGCCTGAGAGAGACGCTTGGGCTTTCGGAGCGGGCTGGAGAGCTCCCCTGAGCCCCGGTGACTCTGTGGTGCAAACTTAGTGCCTTCAGCAAAGGACACAGATGGTCGCTTGGCCCGAGCCAGGCTGGAGGTGCGAGGGATGGCGAAGGGCGTGGAGGCATCCTCAGGGGGTGGGAAGGAGTCTGCAGCCAGACTGGCCTCTGGAGACTGGACTTGGACCACAGAGGCCAGCCCTGGCAAAGCAGACAGAAGAGCGGGGTTTGGTTGGGCCTAGGTTGGATACCCCAACCCATCCTACTTACCCGGTTCGGTACCTTCCAGGTAAATAGAGCAATCTACTCACAGCATCACTGATACTCCTCCACTCCTCCTCTTATCTCTCTCCCCACTCTCTTCACTTTAAACTAAGGCCACTGCCTTCCTTTGCGCAGTAAGGCTTCACCTCTGGGCCCTGTCCATGCTGTTCCCTCTCCCTGGAACACCATTCTTGCCTCACCCTAACTTTCACTTAGCCAACTCCTCCTGATCCTGTCAAAGTCAACCCAGATATCACAAACACTGATCCCAAGCACCCCTGAAGATGCAGGAATATGAGCCCTTGCTCTTATGTTCCCATCAAAGTCCTTGTCTCCCTGTTCTACAAGTGACGATCCACCAGAATGTCAGCTTGCTGAGAGCAGGACTAGGTCAGTCATGTTCATGATTATGTTCCCAGAGCCAGGAAGGGCAACTGGCATAGAATAGGCTCCTGATGAACACTTGGTGGATGAATGGGGAAATGGATGGATAAATGAATGAATGAGGAAATGATGAATGAATAGATGAGTGAGGAAATGGATAGATGAATGAATGAGGAAATAGATGGATGGAAGAATGAGTGAGGAAATGATGAATTAATAAATGAGTGAGTGAGGAAAAAGAGGAATGAATGAGAAAATGGGTGGAGAGAAGAATGAGTGGGGAAATGATGAATTAATAGATGAGTGAGTGAGGAAATGGATAGATGAATGAATGAGGAAATAGATGAATGAGTGAGGAAATGATGATAATAGGTGAGTAAGGAAATGAATGAATGAATGGATGAAGGCAAGCAGGGCAGCCCAGATGCCCAGTGAACTACTGGGGGCTACCTTCTTGGGGTGGCACACAGTAGGCCGGACCCTCATCTTCCTCTTGAGACTCAGGATCAGAAGAAAAGGAGTCTTCAGAGACCCAGCCAGCAGAGGGAGGCTCGATGAAGCTGTGGTTGAAGGGAATCTCGGGGTCGTGGTGCAAGACTGTAGGAGGTGCTGGGTCAGGAGCAGAGCCTGATGAGAAGCCGCGCCCTTTCCAGCACCTGAGCCCTGCTGCCACTTACCTGTCACCCAGGGCAGCTTGTGGCTGCTGAGGGAGCCACAGGGCAGCAAGGAGCCCAGGCTGGTCAGTGCCCCCCACACCTGCAGTTTCACCCGGGACACAGCAGCTCCATCTCTTGTAGGCCTGAGGAGGGAGTGAGGGTTGTCGGCCCAGGACCCCCTTAGCGGAAGCAGGGTAGGGTGAGGGGAAAGAGTAAAGGACCCTCATGTCTTGGTTCTGGACTGAGTTAGTGTGAGAGAGGCACAGTGGCTGGGTGACCATGTCTCCTTTTTACCACATCATACCCAGACCCCCAACCCCCCCACGCTTCCATGTGCTGACTGTGGAGAAATATCCTAACAACTGAGCCCAAGACACAAGCCCATCACAGGGACAGTGAGACTCGGGACTCAAACAGAACTAGGTCCTAACTCTAGCTTGGAACTAACCTCTCTGGACCTCACCTGTAAAATGAAGCTCTTAGAAAGCAGAGCTTTGTCAGGACCCAACACAGTACCAGGCACTTAGCAAGGAGTTGTTAAAATGCAGTTTTTAGTTCTTATCATCCTAACTGAAGCTCCCCTCACTCAGCTCAAAGGGCAGCCCTTCCAGATAAGCTACATTTGCACCCCTCTCCTCAGCCCCAGGCAGTGCTCCACTTGCAGCCATTTCTCTGACAGCCCTTATATGTGCCCTATGCTCAGTTCTGGAGCTCTCATCCCCACTCCTTAGGTCCTCTGCCCTGGAGGAGGGGCAACCAGGTCTGCTCTTCTGCAATGACTTGTCTCTCTCCCGTCAGGTCAGTTTTAGTCCCTTCTGCCTGCCCAGAGTTACGCAGCTGCTTTTGCACCCCCTGCTCTCCTTTTCCTCCCCCTCCTCATCCCCTTTGGGTCTCCTAAGTAAGGCTCAGCTTCCTGCTGTGGGTTTGAGTCCCATGGATGCCAAAAGAACAAACAGATACAACTTGGAGAAGGTACAGCCAAGTTATCCTTGGAGGCAGGTGATGAAGCTTCCTCTCACATCCTTTGGGCATGTTGCTCGAGAGACTATTCCTTGGAGACAAACATGCTTCAGAAGGTGGAGGGACAGTGAAAGAGAGGAGGATCCTTTAGCAGCTGGGTTGACACAGTGACTGTTGCAAAAGGCCTGAGTGCATCAGAGATTATGAGGATGGCATGGGACAGGACAGCGTTCTGATCTGTCACTCATAGGGTCACTATGAATCATACTCAGTGGCACCTAATAATAACTCTTGGTCCCCAGTCCCCCTCCTCATGCAGCGCAGCATCTCTCCACCAAGGCTTCTAAGGAAGACAGGTGGCTGGCTTGTTTCCTCTGCCAGGGACCTCCATCCATCCTACTGAAGTGTGGTCTGGTCCACCTCACCGAGGAAGGAAACCAGGCACCAGTCCGTGGGGTGGGAAGAGAACATGCTGATGCTCACCTGTCCTTGGGGTCCAAGCGGGCAGCCCAGCAGCAGCAACCACAGCAGGCAATGCCCAGGAGGAGCAGCAGCAAAGGCACCAAGATGCCCGCGATGAGGGTGGCGTCCTGACTGTGAAGGCCTGAGGGGGGCAGGAGCGCTCAAACACAGGCCTGCCCTGCCTTCCACACGGTACATTTCATCCTTAGCAGCAAGCTGTCCCTCCCTGGGCTTCCTCTTCCACCTTTGCTACATGTAAACTCTGCTCAGCCTTGAGGGCCCCTCTTCCAGGCAGTCTCCCTACTGGTCTACCTCCTCCTCGTGGCCAAGGCCTGTTCTACAGACTCTTGCTCCTATTCTCATGCCTGGTGTAAATTCTAGCGTCCAGGCATGCTCATCCATTTTCTGGGCTCCAGACTGGTTTCTCGGAGCCCCAGGGCACCCACACAGACACCAGGCACAGGTGATAGCTCTGAAATTGCCCATCCTCCCTTCCAAGTGACAGGCACTTGGCGCTCAGATGCAGGGCCATGGTCTGTACCCTACATTCTCGCTTCACCTTACCGAGCTGGCAGGACCCAGAGACAGGGTGGCAGGGCCCCTCTGGGCACTGGCAGGGGACTGAACAGTTTTCTCCATGGAAGCCAATTGGGCAGGAAGTGTTGCAGCTGTGGGGTGATGAGAAGATACAGATGAAAGGCTGAGCAGGAAAGGAGGCAGAGTACAAGGAGAAGGTGGGTGGTAAACGGTAGATTCCTGGGCACTGTCTCGTCCCCTGAGGTGGAGGATGCCCAAACAGACGCCTTCCGATCTGAGCCATATTCCCAGCACTACAGACAGTAGGCAGGAGATCCCTCAGCCCACATGGTCATCTTCTAAGTAGAGTACCCACAAGTGGCCTATGTGGTCCCTGACCCCTAGTAATCCTCAGAGCAGGGTCTGCCTCTGCCTTTGTCCCCTTCATTGTCCACCCAGCAAAGACACCCAGGGAGAGCCCATTCGGGTCGGGAGGGCTGAGCCAGACCCCTGCCCCTCAGGTCTCGGTTATCTCCTCCAGAAAATGAACTCCTCCATCTGATGCTCCCTCCAGTTCTACAGGAGGAAAGCCTGACTGGAGACACTGATCATGCTTTGCCACCAGAAGACCGCAGGGAAATAACAATGGGCTTTGGGACCCTGCTCCTAAGTATACGCCCTGTCTAGTTGGGGAGGAGTCCCCTAGGTGGTGCAGAAGGTTAGCACACTTGGCTGCTAATGGAAAGGCTGGTGGTTCAGATCCACCCAGAGGTACCTCAGAAGGAGGGTTTTTGATCAACTACTTTTACCCAAATTGACTCACTGCTGTCAAGTCAGAACGCACCCATAGCTGACCCTTCAGTGGGTTTTCAGGGGCAGTAAATTGCACAGGAAGAGAGAATGCCTGCCTTCTTTCCTCAGAGCAGCTGGTGGATTCAAACAACTTGCCTTTGGAATGGCAGTGCAGCTCCTTATCCAGTAGGCCACCGGAGCTCCCTTTTCACACAGTCACTGAAAACCCTTTGGGATGCAATTCTACTCCAATACATATGGGGGCATCATGAGTTTGACTCAGGGCAATGCACTTTCTACCTCGGGAACCTTTTCTATTAAGCCCCGCCCTGATCCTACATGGGTAGATACACACTCAGCAGAGAAAGAACTGCAGACACTGGGTGAGCAATTGGGGAGCAGGGAGGGCTGAGAAGGGAGATTAGGAAACAGATTGTAGAGGCCTGAGCTAGGTCCCTGGTGCCACCCCCATCCTCACCTGGGCCCCCAGTAACCAGCACTGCAGACACAGTCCCCAGTCACAGCATCACAGGTCCCGTGATTACAGGTGGGGCAGGTGGAGCTGCAGTCCTTCCCAAAGGTTCCACGTGGGCAGGGCTCCTCACACCTGAGATGAGGCAGGGCTGAGGAGTGGGGGTGCAGAGCAGGCCTGGCCTCCACAAGGCCTGCTCATCACCTTCCCTGCACTCCTGGATTTTGGGCCCAACCGGCTACTTCTCAGCAGTGAAGTTCAGGTGTAAACAGGGCCTTATATCTGGGGCCACACTCCCAAAGTGACAAATTACAGATTTCTGAAGGGGGAAGAGGGACAGGGCCTGAGTGGTGAGGTAGCAGGGAGGGAATCTTGCCCAAGGCAAGTCAGACCAATCTCTCCCTCAGTCTTCCCCTGGGAGGCTGCTGCATGAATGTGTTGGGCCCAAGGATGCATCAGTTGTCCTAGAGAATGTGATTGGGAGTGGAAGTGGCAATCCTGAAGGAGGATGCTCCCCACTCTGATCAAATTAGCCTGCTCACCTTGACCCTTGCCAGCCAGGGTCACAATGCTGACAGTGCCCAGTGTCTGACTGACAGGACTCCCCAAGGTGGCATCGGGGGCACAGCTGCTTGCAGCCTTCACCAAAGGTGCCTGGTGGACAGGGCCTGTGGCACCGGGTTCCATTCCAGCCTGGCTCACAGGACTCGCAGCTTCCTGTGTCCGGAGCGCACGGCTTGTTTTGCTTGCAGTGGCCACAGCTAGGAAAGGAGGAGTCCCAGGGAGCATGTGGAGCCCACTTCCTCCAGCAGGCACTGTGCCCACCCACCCAAGCCTTCCAGGGCATGGAGAGCAAGCAGGGCCCAGCTCTGTCTCTCAGGAAGGTTAGAGCCTCTGTTTCTCCAGATTGTACAGTGAAGGCGCTGAGCAGATAATCTATGAGGGTGTTGCATGACTCCACCCCACTCCTAAACCACCACTCTGTGAACCAGTCTTCCAGGGCAGCCACAGTTCCCACAAAACCACTGCTCCCCTCTGCTCAACTCTTCCCTTCTCCTTCCTTTCTTTGGTGTCTGAAATCTGCCATTAATGGCACTCATTTTATTTCCTGTGCCACAACATGAAAATGCGTACAGGTGAAAGCAAAAAGATCTGGTTTCACCATTTTAATTTCAGGATAGATAAGTTTTTCAGTTTCATTTCTCACTGGTGCTTAGACCTGAAGTTTCTCCTTCTGGACACTTAATTATCTGGGGTCATACACTTGGGACAGACCCATCAGTTGAGGAAGGGCAGAGAATTCATAGACTCAATCTACCTAACTTGGTAGATCCTAACTTGGAGCTGACATGACAACAATTGGTCTGGTGGTGGTGGTGGTTGTTTTTAAACTCATTGTTGTCGAGCCCAAAGTGACTCATAGCTGACCATCCAGAGGGTTTCCCACAGGGGTAAGTCACATGGGAGGAGATTGCTCATCTTTCTTCCGCGTGTTTTTAAACTAGCACTTGAAAAAAAAAATAGGAGGAAGAAATGGAGCAGAAAAAGATTACTGTATTTATATGTAGTAAAATTTAAGAACGTATTATCCTTGTTAAACTTTAGCGACACACAATTGTTGTGGTGATGTAAAATGCATTTCTTATTGTGGATGAAGCAGGTCAAAGTTTGAAAGCAATGGAGTCTGGAAAAGGGAGCTCTGGGGGCCTAGTCTATAGGGAGTTGTACTGCTAACCCAAAGGCCTCCCATCTCTGGTGGTTCAAATCCACCAGCAGCTCCATTACATAAAGAAAGAAAATCTCCTCTCATGTAATTTTGTTCTTCTTGTTGTTGCTGTCAAGTCAGAACGGACTCATAGCTGACCCTCCAGCAGGTTTTCAGAGACAGTAAATCACATGGGAGGAGACTGCCCATCTTTCTTCTGCAGAGCAAATGTCGGATTTAAACTGCATGCCTTCAATTTGACAGCGCAGCTCCTTAACCCACTAGGCCACCAGAGCTCCCTCCATGGAATTTACAGCCTTGGACACCCAATGCAAGGTCATCCTCGTGTCAGTTCCAACTGAACAGCAACAAGTTGAGAATCTTAAAGAATTCCTGCGATCCTTTGTCATGTGAGCCACCTTCCATCCATGTCTTGCTAGTTTCAATATCTTTGCTAATAGTAAACAGTAATTGTATGAAAGGGGTGGAGTGAGCTCAACTTAGAGATCTAGATTTCTTCCTTTTTCCTTTTGCATGCATCCCTGCCATCAGTATTTTTGTGGCGCGCACCATACCATGCAATCCTTGGAGGTCTCCTGCCCTTCTCACTTGCACCTCTATTTTTTTCTTTCTCCCTCCAACCCCTTCCTCTCCCTTCTAGCCCCCTTCTCCCCTCTATCTCCTTCTGCTCCCTTCTCCCCCTTTTAAGCCCTTCTTCTCCCCTCCTGAGCTCTCCTCCCCTTTCTAGTCCTCTTCTCTGCCCTCCAGCCCCCACTCCCCCGTCTTGCTCATCTGCACCCGCCCGATCCCTGTGCCTCTCACCTATTCTGGCACTGCGCCCCATAGCGGCCGGCGGGACAGGGCAGCTCGCAGCGCTCCCCGTGGTAGCCGGGCGGGCATGCGCAGTGGCCCGTGGCGTCGCCGCAGCGCCCTCTCACGCACGAGCAGCGCTCGCGGCAGGCAGGGCCCCAGCGGTCTGGCCGGCAGGCGCAGCGGCCCGACTCTTGCACGCACGGCGAGCCGTGGCAGGCGCAGCGGAAGCTGCAGCGCCGGCCCCACCAGCCCGGTTCGCACAGACAGGCTCCCGTGGTGGCATCGCAGCGCGCAGCCGCCAGGTTGCACTGGCACGGGCGGTGGCACGTGGGCGCCCACCAGCCCGGATCACAGCGGCACGTGCCCGTCTGGGGGTCACAGTGCCCGTGGGTGCAGGTGCACTCGAACTCGCAGCGGTCGCCCCAGCGGTCCGGTTGGCAGTGACACGTGCCTGTATCCGGCTCACATTGGCCGTGCGGGTGGCAGGGGCAGCTCTCCCGGCAGTCGGGGCCCCAGTACTGGCTGGGGCAGCCTGTTAGGGGGCAGAATGGGTACAGTGAACTCAGGGCCGGGCACACCTCCTCGTCCTGCGCTCACCCTGTCTGCAGTGAAAAGGCCTACACGCTGAACGCTGGAGCAGAGCCTTGGTTACCGGCAGCCGTTCTCCTGTGTGCTGAACTACGAAAACCCTTAGGTCCCACAGTCAAGAACAGGCTTAAAGATCCAGAATGGAAAAGGGGTTTCCCCCGGAGCCGGAGACGGCCATGACGTCATTCGCACCCACTTCTTCCTCCCCACCGAATTCCTCCATTGAGCTGGCCAGTCATCCTTGTCTGGGGCCTAGACGCTGCCCTCGGCTGTGCTAACGCCACATTTCCCCAGTGTCTGCTCCATACCCAAGTGGGTCTGGTGGCTGCAGGCTTGCCTGCCTCACGCTCTCCTGTGTGCCAACTCTTTTCTCTCAACCTTCCTCTTTCTACCAGAGACGGCGGAGGATCCAGATGGAGTGGGGTGGCACTCTCCACGCCCCCTAAGTGTGTGGCAGCAGAGTGGAAATTCATCCATTTTGCAGCTCCCAGTGGATTACCGGCATTGTCTGAGAAGTTCTAAAGGAAAGTGAAGTGCCCAGGACTGAGCTTGTGTGAATTCAGGGCTTTGTGGATGCTGGTGAAAGCCAGATGGGTCAGGGTATCTCTGAGTGGCCATTCCTGCCTGCAGGCGGCAATGTCTTCAGTGAGGCTGGAAGGGATTCTGGCCCTTGTTCTAAGATTACATTCCTACCTGCTTCGTGCCCTCACCCAGTTCTTTCCAGAATTCAGCCCTCCGAAGGGACACTCACGAGAGCTGCACTGGGCCCCGAAGAATCCAGGTTTACACCGGCAGAGACCTGGCTTCACACACACCTCGTCTTTCTGGCAGGCCTCTGGTCCCTCGCAGATGGCTGAAAAATACTCTACATAGGTGGGAGAGTCTTTGGGGAACAGAGAACACCCCCATCCCTCACAGGGGCTCCTGGGGCCCTGCCCTCTCATGGCTAAGGGTGTCAGAGGATGAACTCTGTAAAGGAGGAGGCCCCAGGAGGAGGGAGGATCACTGGCTGTTCCCTCTCCTCAGCTGAGGTCCCCTCCTGGCTACTCACGGATGGTGCATTCTTGATCTTTTTGCCTCCAGCCAGGGCAGCACTGGGGCTCAGCAGAAGGGCTATGGAATAGAGAGGAGTCAGTTGAGTGGCTCCAGGGCTCAATGTGGGTGACCATGCATGTGGATCATCATCTCTAGCTGAGCTATGGGAAACTGCCTCAGCCCCACCAGAGGTCTCACCTAGAGTCAACCCCAGTGTCATCCTCAGCCCCTTCCCTCACCTTCCTACCACCTGCCCCAGCTACCCACCACCATCCAGCTACCCTCCCATCAGTTCTGTGAGCTCTTTCCCTATACCTGCCCTTGCCTCAACATCTCAGCACCAATTCAACCACCACTGCTCACCAGAATCCCACAAGACTCACCGACTGGCCACACAGACATGCTGCCCATTGGGGTCCAACTTGGTCCCTTGGGTCCCCCAGGTCCAGAAGAGCAGCAGTGAGAGCAGTAACCCCAGCCCCATGGCGGCCAGTACAGCAGGAGGGCTTGTTAGTCAGCCCTGCAGCTCCCAGCCCTCTTCCTGCTTCCTCCCAAGTCTTTTCCTGAGGAAACCAGGCCGGAGGGGCGGGCTGCCATGAGGCACCTCCCTGAGAGGTGGGTTTGTGTTGAAAAGTCTAGACACTCATGAAATGTGAAATGAAAGGAAAAGGAAGGTCAGCGGGCAGGATGGAGCAGGGGCTTGAGGAACTGGTGTTAGAGTAGAGAAGGCTAGAAAACCAAGAGACAGGTCCCTGTGGGGGTGGGAGCCTCGGCTTTCCATTAGGACTTAATCCCAGGGTGAGGAAGGAGCTGAGAGAAGCTTCCTTAACCAGTGACTGACCACAGAGAGCCTGGCTCTCACAGAGCTGGGAGGTTAGAGACAGATCACTGACAGAGAGACAGACATGGCATGGTTCTTGAATATTGTTTTATGAACATTTGCTTTATTACATTAACTCAGGTCATTTGTACAAACTCCAGGGAGGTAGTCAGTTCTCTTTCATGGATGGGGAAACCGAGACTCAGATAAAAAGTACTTTGATGTGGCCCAGACATTTGGAGAAGGGATGTGAGAAAGGAAAGTGGGCTGAGCACCTCCATGAAGCCAGGGCTCTCGGGCCAGAATCACAGAAGGGCCTTGGATACTGCTGGGGAGGAAGGAGCTTCCTTCTTATTTGAGGTCACAACTCCATCCACAGCCAGACTTCAAACTCTGGGGGGCCCTTGGGTCAGCTGAGGCCCCCAAATCAAGGCCATTAATGTAGAGCAAGTCAGAGTCAGTCAGGAGCTGGGTTCCAAGAGAGGTTGTTGTGAGTCTTCCTCTTCTCCCCGTTGCTTGCTAGGTGTGGGGCTGCTGGTCCCAGCTTCAGGGCCCTCTGCTCCACCCTTGTGATACCACAGGCCAAAGCTGGGGGCAGACCCAAGAGGGGCTCTGAGCAGAAGTCAAGGATGCTAACTGCGCTGGGGCGGCGGGTGTTGACAACAGCTGGGGAAAACAGCAGGGTGAGGTGCTGGGGAGATGAGGGAATGCAGGAATAAAAGGCCGATGCGCGGTGAGAGCTCAGAATAGGAGAGTTGGTGAGGTGGGTAGGAGATGCTGAGTAAAACCTGGTGGGACCCCTTTACCCCTACACTCCTGCCCCTTGTTTTGCCCTGCCCCTGCCCCTTTCCCTTGCCCTGACATACAAACTTTGTATTCTGGATTCAGGAAGTGGAAGTTGGTTTTCCTTATCACTGGGGCGCAGGATCCATGAGTTATCCTCATCATCACTGAGGCAGAGAGAGGAGACATAAAAGCCATTTAAAAGGACCATGAGGGAGAGAGGAGCCCAGTTCACACCAGCCTGCTGTGCAGCAGACAGAACAGGGTGGCTGCAGGGCATCCAGTGCTGGAGAGAGGAGATACTGAGATGAAAGATAGCTATCATGAGGTTTTAATTTAGTCTGACAGACAATAGGTTTCTGACAAGGCTATGGTTTCAGACTCACTCCTCTGATAACAAACAAATTAACCCAAAGCAAGAATAAAATAAAATAAAAAAAAGAATGTGAGGAAGTAGGGTAAGAACAAGGTTGGACTCAAGAACAGTGGCAGATTCAGCAGAGGAGTTGCATAGTGGTTTGAAGATGACAAGCGTAGGGAATGATCAGGCTCAAGGTGGAGCAGCAGGCTCAGGATGGAGGAGGTGAAGGAGGCTTGGGATGGAGGAGCAGGTTCAGACCAGAGGAGCAGGGTCAGGATGGAAGAGCAGAGCTCAGGGTGGAGGAGCAGAGCTCAGGGTGGAGGAGCAGGGTCAGGGTGGAGAAGCAGAGTCAGGGTGGAGGAGCAGAGCTCAGGGTGGAGGAACAGGGTCAGGGTGGAGGAGCAGGGTCAGGGTGGAGGAGCAGGGTCAGGGTGGAGAAGCAGAGTCAGGGTGGAGAAGCAGAGCTCAGGGTGGAGGAGCAGGGTCAGGGTGGAGGAGCAGAGCTCAGGGTGGAGGAGCAGGGTCAGGGTGGAGGAGCAGGGTCAGGGTGGAGGAGCAGGGTCAGGGTGGAGGAGCAGGGTCAGGGTGGAGGAGCAGCAGCTTAGCAGGCTCTAAGGTGACTAGGACAGGTGAGCAGGCCGAGACAATGACAGGCTAGGTCAGCAGGCTAAGCAGAATGATGGAGGCGGAGGAGAGAGAGAAGATAAAACCAAAACCAAATCCATTGCCACTGAGCCAATTCTGATTCATAGGGACCCTGTAAACCAGAGTACTGCCCCACAGGGTTTTCTAGACTATAATTTTTATGGAGAGAGCTCTGGTGGCCTAGTGGCAAGAAGCTGCGCTGCAGTCCCCAACGTACGCAATTTGAGGCCACCAACTGCTCTGTGGGAGAGAGATGGACAAACACCTGCTGTGCGATTAACTGCCTCCAAAAACTTGCCAGAAGGTCAGCTATCAGTCAGTTCCAACTCCACAGTACACAACAACAACAACACTCTTTATGGAGGGAGGGGGCTCCGGTAGCCTAGTCTGTTGGGAGTTATACTGCTGACTTCTCTGGCAGTTCAAATCCATCAGTGGCTGTGAGGGAGAAAGATGGGTTCTCTGCTCTCAGGTGATGTACTGCCTTAGAAACCCACTGGATGGTCAGTTAGGAGTCAGTTTCACCTTGACGGCAATGAGTTTGAGTTTTTTCATCTTTCTGAAAGCAGCATACTGTATATTTCTTCCAAGGAACGACTGACTGGTTAGTTTGAACTGTTGACTTTTTAGTTAGTAGCTGAGCACTTTAATCACTGTACCCCTGGAGCTCCTTCCAATACAGACAAAAGGGCAGGGGGTTTACCTGCTCTCTGCTTCCTCTGGGGTCCCCAACATCTTCGCCTTGATCTTCTTACGCTGCTTGCGGACAGCCACCTTCATGGCTTCCAGCAGAAGCCCAGGCACCCGGTGATCTGAGAGCAGCTCCCTAGAGGCGACAGAGAGGGGCAGTGGAAAGTAATGGGGGCGATTCTAGGGAGAATTCCTTGGCTGAAGCTGCTGTCTCCCACGACCTCTGTGCTGCCCCCTCCCATCCAGGTGAAGGAGGGCAAGGGTTTCCGACTCATCTTTCTAGTAAACAGGTCAATGAGCTGAGGAATGAAGTGGGATGATGAGAAGCCGGAGAACGGATGTGTGTGAGGTCTCCTTGGAAGTCCAGGCCCTGCCCAGCCCCCTCACCTCTGGAAATAGGCCAGCTCCTCCTTCAGCAGGAATACATTGGCTTTGAGTTCATTCCGCTCCTGAAGAATCTGCTTAACCTCCTCTCTACTGAAGCCACACGGGCCTACCTCGGGGGGAGTCCCCGGATGCTGAGGAGCATCTGCCTGCAGTACAGGGTTGGTCAGTGGGCAGTCAGAACAACACTAGGAAGTGACTGGCAGAGAAATTTGGAGTGCAAAGGTAGATGGCAGTTTAGTATTCTGGCTGAGAAAGTGCAGGGAGGTCGGTTAGGGGCACAAACTTGTGTGCTACCTTCCAACTTCCCAGTGGCAATCTTTCCCGAGTACCCAGATGCTGTGAGTACTGGCCCCTGCTGAGGGTGTCATGCACTCACTAGGTCCTCAGGAATCTCTGTAGCTCCAGCTCTGGGGGTCACCGGTTCAGGCTCCTGCCTCTGCTGACACCTGGCTTTTGGCTGCTCGGGCGCCACCAGCCCTGGGGACTCTTGGCCCTGCAGCTCCTTCTCGGCCTCTCGGTCCCTAACCTTGCGCAGCTGCGTCTGCACAGCCGCCAGCTTGTGCCGCAGCTCGGCGTTCACCACCAGGAGGCGGTGCAGCTGCTCCTGCAACTGTGGGCGGAACAGGAGGTGGTGGCTGGGGGGGGTGGGCCGCTGAGAGGCTGAGGTCCCCGCCCCGTGCCCGTCGCCGCACCCTCACCGCCTCGGTCTCCTGGCTGCGCTGCAGTAACTCACGACTGTGCGCCCGGAGCTCGTCCCGCTGTCTGTCCGTCACCTCCTTGAGCTGTCGTAGCAGAGCGCGCTCCTCTGGAGAAGGGATTCTTAGCATTCTTAGCGGCAGCCCGTGGGACCAGAGTCCCCAGCCCACCCTGGTCACGGCCGCCTGCACTCACCCTGCGGCCCACAGTGCTGCTCCCTGCGAAGGCGCTCGTTCTCCTCCCGTAGCCGCCTCAGCTCCTGTTCGGCCAGCTGTGCGGAGACCTGCAACTGGAGAGGCCAGGGCTCGGGGTTAGACTGCCGCCGACCTGCAGGTGGCGAAGGGAACGACAGTGACTCACCGAGTCTGGCGCAGGCCCCACCGCAGCCTTTTCCAGGAGCTCCAGGGCCCGCACCACGAGCGGCACCAGCCCGCTTGCTGCCTCCGGCCCGAAGCTCCGCGCCAGCTCTTGGAGCTCAGTGCCCAGGGCTCCCGCCAGGTGATACACAAGCTCGGCCACCGACCCCGAACCTGCGGCCATGCGAGGCCTCAAGCCGTGGCCGCCAGAGTCTGCCCTCTGGGAATCCATTTATCCCCCAAGGGCCTCGCCCCCGCAGCTGCAGCAGGGAAAAGCCACTCAGTTCCCGCCCAGGAAGCAGTTTAGGGTTGTGGAGGGAGGGGGAGGAGCAATTAAGCAATAGTAGAAGAGTTGGAGAGGCTCCTGGGCTCCAGGACCTTGTCCTTTTTAACCCCAAGGTCACAGGAAACAGGGCGGACAACTTCCAGCCAGGCTGCTGAGAGCTGAGAGGGTCAGGGCTACAAATGGTCACTTCAGTCAAGCCTCCCCCACAGTGCCCTGGCCAGGCTCCACCCCTGAGTGGGAATCACGGGGCTGACTTGCCTGCCAACCCCTCCAGGCCAGAGGTGAGGCAGGGTGTCACTGGCACCCGGGCAGCCAGAGCAGCCCTCCACATTGGCCACCTGTGTGCCTATTTCTCTAATAGATACTGAAACCTTAAGGGACCAGGTGGGGCATCACAGCTGCAAATGGCAAGCCAAGTTCACAGGCTGGAAAGAGCAGCAATAGCTCCAAGACATGCTGAAAATGTGGTGATGGATTTGTATTTTGTGACAACAGGGTTTTTTTTAATTTTTTTGTTTGTTTAGTTATTTTTTTGTGTGTTCCATCAAATCAGACCTGACTGGTACCGCAAGAGATTGCCCTGCCTTCTCCAGCACAGCATCTGGTGGATTTGGACCCCACACCTCTGGGATTGTAGTGCAGCTTCTTGCCAGGAGGCGACCAGAGCAGAGCTCCTGTGGCAACAGGGTTATAAGTCTTAAAGTCAACTCCACTAGAAGCTCTCTAGTCCCACAGTTCTGACCAGAGGGCTCTGCCCCATCAAGGCACCTGGATGGGAACAAGCCCAGCCCAGCCTCCCAACAAACACCCGCCACACATAACTCGAACCAGAAAACGAAAAAGAAAAACCAACTACTCCTATTTATACAAAATTTATTATTACACAGTTTAGGATCACAGGACAACAACACAAAAACAAGCACAAGAAGGAGAAAAGAAGCTGCTGAATGTCACCAGCCTGTCTGTGGGGCTAAAAGGCTCCAGCTTTTGGGGAGTCCAAAGCAGGAGGTGAGGAAACAACTAGGCATAGAGGTCCTCCCGGTCCGCAGAGTAGACCTCACCCTCTTGTAACAGGGCAAAGTTGAGAAAGTGGGAGGGTCTGTGCACCTCATGGTAAAACTCTTTGGGGTTTGCCAGCTGTAGCTCATACTTCATGTTGGGATCGTGCCGTACACCTTGGGAAGAAGGAAACATCAAATGTGACCAACAGGTCCACGGGCTTTACCCCACCAGGGACTGAGGCACCTCCAAGGTCTCTTTAGTTGTTTTTCCTCAATTTTATTTATTTCTTTATTTTCAATTAAACCTCACCCCTCAGCTACTCCCTTCCCCACCTCCAAGTTTTAAGGATAAAGACCTAACCCCATCCCATCCCATGTTCTCTCAATAACCCTGCTCCTTACTTACCCATAAAGTTATAGTTCCATGAGGACTGGGCAGGGACCATAAAGAAGCCAAGGAAACGATCTGACAACAGCATCTGAACCCTCTCATAGTGGGAGGGCAAGTAGCCCTTGGGGTTGTTGCCCTTGTCTGTGTTCTGGCGACCCCATTCATAGCCACTGGGGGTCAGCTTGTAGGCTGTCAGGGTGCAGGAACCTGGCGTGAAGCTGGGGGAAGGATAAGCAGAGTCAGTTCAGGCCACCGTTCTAGGTCTGGCTTACAATGCCCACCTCCCACACTTCCTGCAAGCCCACCTGCAAGTGATGATAATGGTTTTCTCGCCATCCCAGGATGGATTGTCAGCCATGATCTTGGCATGGGTAGTGACATCCTGGGGTGACAACTGGGGAGACTCATTGGGTTGAGTGTGGATCCAACCTAAGGGCTCCATCTCCTGTAGACCAAAAGCAATGGAGAGTAGTTTAGAATTCTACTTCCAGACGGGAATTTCCAAACCCAGGTTTATTTGCCTGCCTTCTTCCCTCCATCATCCTCACAACAAGAAGCCCTAGTTCCTCACCCCAAACACTATCACCACCTTATACCTTGAGGTACTCGTGCTGGGGCAGCTGGCCAGGCAGATGCACAGTCTGATGAGTGCCCCACTGTGGAACCATCACGATGCAGCGGATTTCCTTCACCTGAGGGTTATCTGGTGGGCTCACCCCGTACAGGTACCCTGCAATCTAGAGACAAAGGGGCCAGGGCCAAATTGAGTACCTACCTGGTGTCTCAGCATTGGCTGTTAACTTTGCTTCACAGCTCAGTGTAGTGTCACAAGCTGAATACATCTGTATAACCAGCACTGGCACCAACAAATTAAGAGAGTACTTTTCTTAAGCACCTATGAGATAATGTCTTCAAATTCACCAACCAAATGGCTGCAAAGTGGTGTTTAACAAAAATATTTCCCTGGTTACTATAAAAGCGAAGTATCTTTTCACATTATATTGGTTATCTGTAGTCCCTTTTCTAAAATATCTTTCTGTATTCTTTGCCTATTCTTCGTTATCTTTATTGTCTTCTGAGAATTCTATTTTAAGTGCTAATCTTGTCTCTTAGTTATGTTAATATTTGTCCTTTTTCTGGCTTGGCTTATCTTTTAGTGTTCCTTATCGCACACAAATTATTAATTATGATCATGGTTATGCGCTTTGTGTTTTAAGAAGGCCATCCCAAAAGGAAAGTGGTACACACACAGTTCTAATGCTCTACACCTAGTTTTTTTACATTCAGACCTTTCCATCACCAGTATTTTATTAACTGCGAGTTGTGTGAGGCAGATTTCTAGCCTTCTCCTTCCAGCTATCTAAATAGATTTATTTGTCCGTGGTAAACTGAATACACTCACTCACTTGGGCCCGAAGGTCAGATATGCAGATGAACTTCTTAAGCACATTTTTGGGAAGGATATAGGTGTAACCAGTCTCCTTGATGTCATCGGATGAAACATAAATGTGATTGGTCCTTAGGTGCAAATTGGCAGCAGAGATGGCCCTAGAAGCAAGAAGGGATTATCAGCATTCCTCAGTTCAAGCACCAGGACATCTTCTTTCCCAGCCCTCCTGCCCTTTTCAGTACCTGACTCTCCATTCAGTCTTGGATGAGAATGTCTGGGTCTCATAATTGCTGGTGGTGGAGGTGATTATCTCATCACCATGTTTGTTGACAGTGCGCGTCTGCGTCGCAGTCAGCTGTGACTGCTCCTTGGTCTGCTTCTCGATCTCAGCTATCTGCTGCCGCTGTTGTGAGGGGGCCGAGATCTCCATGCCCAGGATGATGTCTCGAATTTCTGACTGTGTCAAGGATGCCACATTCACACTGTGGGGGACAGCATGTGTCACCACAAGTCTCCCTCGTGGAATCCCTCAGTCATTTCTGTCTCAATGACAAGTCTTTAACTCCTGCACTAGACACTCCTAAAGAAAGCAGAGATGCTCCACTACTTACATAGTCCCTCACTTTCCGGACAGGAGGACACCGCCTGTGGACCTCTCAGCTCAAGCCTGCTCAGCATTCCCACCTCCTTTCCCCAAAATGCCCTGGCACAGGACAATTCTCTAAAACACTGGTTCTCAGCCACAGCCAACATTATTACTCTAGGGGTATTTGAAAAGCTATGGAAAATTTTGGTTGCCATAAGAGGAAGGATGGGTGGAGGGGTGGGCACAGAGGAAAATGTGCAACAATGAATGAATGGAAATCCAAAGTCTCTAAAACTTTCATTAAAATTTCAATTTAAAAAAATTTTATCAGTGGAAAGATCCTTAAAAAGAAAAAAAGGAAGGATATGAAGGAAAAGGAGAGTTTGGGAAGAGATGTCCAAAACAGTCACAATAGTGCCAGATAATCAGACTGACGGCCTGAAACAAGGGTTATCTCCTGTTCTATTTAAGAAACTGCCTACATTTTCTCTACAGGCAGCTCTAGATAAACTTCTGGGCCTGCAGGTCTAAAAAAAAAACCCAGAAACCACATATTGAGCCACCCATGCTTTTGGATCTTCCACCATCACCACTCACTTGTTTTTCTTGCCATAGTCGGCCAAGATCAGATCCTTGAGCTGCACCTCCACCTTGATCCATTCTTCATCAGTCAGTGTGGGCCAAATGTGATGTGGTTCTGTAATAGTTGTCTTGTCTGGCTTTAGGATCACCTTTGCCCGGTCATTGTTTACATGCAGGGCACGCAGAATCAGGATGAGACGAGAGAATGCCTGGGAAGAGGTAGGGGAGAGTGAGGAGAAGTCAGCCACTTGAGACTCTTTTCTTTCTTTACCCTACAGGGCCTGATTGCCATGAATGAATTCCAAACCATAAAGCCCAACCACCACTATGAACAAGTCATCCACACATGCAGAGCAATCTTTTTCCTCATCTATGAGCTGAAGATTTGAAAACTTTCTTTAAGGGTGTTATGGGGAAAGCAAAAACACAGGATCTCCTCCTGACTCCAAACCCAGCCCTCTTAGAGTAGACCTCCTCCTGAGGTGGCTTTATACCGTGTAAGATGAGATAGTCTTCAGCCAGTCATCATACAGGTTGAAGAGAACCATCTGAGGCTCAGTAGCTTTAAGAATAAGGTCCCCAAACTTCTCCACCTTGAGACAAGCCTGGAAGGGGAGTTGGAGCTCCGATCCCTTGATCACAATATTAGGGAAGTCCAGCAAGTGCACCTAAGATGGGATCAAGTACAAGATGAGAAAGAGAACCTAGAGGTCTTAGCTCTCTTTTGTTCAAATTTTCCCTCTCTCTCACCTCCAGGGGATCCAGCATGCCCTTTCTGGTCACGATGATCTGCTTGGGCTGTTCCTCCACAGGCAGAGAACGGATCAAAGCAGCCACTTCTTCAGCTGTTTTCCATTTCGCCAACTGAAACACAACAGAGAGAATATGAAAATTGCATCTTCATGCCCCTAGATAAGCCAAAAGAAATGATCCTAGTTTTAAAATAATAAAATAATGTGTTACTGAGTGTTAGGCACTGCAGGAAATACAGGAAGT